TAATAATTGCATGTTTATAGTTGTAGAGTTTTCTATGTTTTTTATTTCTTTTTTGAAAACAAGATTAAAAAAAAGTGTTAGAAAACAATACATAAATTCCTTTTGTCCAATAGGCCGTGACACAAGGCAAAACAAGACATGGAATTTTCCATATAAGGGCACTTTGGAAATCCATTTTGATTTATTCATAAATACCATCTAAGGTCACATGTGCTTCACAAGGGATTGCTTATGTTAAAAGTTTAATGCTAAACTTTTTTCAGTTCCCTTAAAACATAGCTTAGTCATGAAGAAGCAATTTTCACAAGAAAAGAACAAATCAGATGCTGCTTAGAGGATAAGCATTACAAAGCACAAAAAATGAAAGAAATTCAGATATTTCTTGTGGATTATTTGGCATCAGGATGAAAATTTTGGTATTTGTTTGGAGTGTTTTTTTTATGGTCGAAATATTTAATTGGAAAGTTAAACAACTGAAATTTTTAAAAATAAAATTAGTATTTTGCCTAGTAATACTCTGTTTTTATAAGAATAGGCAAACGTATATTACTAAAACTTTGGATGCGAAGACGATATGTCTTTTAGATTATAAATCTGGTACTTCATGAGAAATTCTCTTAAAGGTAACCTCCGTCTAGCCTTGTTCTAAGTTTTAAATTTTATTAAATATCTTAGTTTTTCAAGATGAAACTGAAAAAAAATGACGAAAATTTGTCATGTAGAACCATTTGCGCTATTATAATATCATGTTCAAGTACTTTACTTTGTTTCCTGGTTTAGTGAATACGAAAGGAATAAAGCAAAGTGGACTCACTTTATTACTGTTCACAAAGCACAATAAAATGCATGAAAATGAAAGCAAACTCCCCAACAGTGTGGCTGTTAAAGTGCTAAGAGGATTAAAGTTNTTGTAGCATCAGACAGATATTAACTCATTTTATAAGATCCCTTATAGTAGGATCCGAACATGGTATTAAGGTACCATTTGAGCTAGTTTAATTCCACTCTTCAATGCCCAAAATCAAACAAGCCCTTAGAGTTTCCGATTTGGGACCAAAAAACCATACATTTTTCTTGTGAACTAGGATAAAATATTCTCCAATTGTGAACTCTGTGCAGTAATTTCATCTCAAATTATACAATCATTGCATACAAACTTGTTGCAAGTTTGCATTTGCATTTGTACCAAAATCACAAACTTAAAAAACATGCGACCACAATATCACAGTATCAAATATTTCATTGTTCATATCTTCCGTTGAGTTCAATATTGTTAATAATTGCATGTTTATAGTTGTAGAGTTTTCTATGTTTTTTATTTCTTTTTTGAAAACAAGATTAAAAAAAAGTGTTAGAAAACAATACATAAATTCCTTTTGTCCAATAGGCCGTGACACAAGGCAAAACAAGACATGGAATTTTCCATATAAGGGCACTTTGGAAATCCATTTTGATTTATTCATAAATACCATCTAAGGTCACATGTGCTTCACAAGGGATTGCTTATGTTAAAAGTTTAATGCTAAACTTTTTTCAGTTCCCTTAAAACATAGCTTAGTCATGAAGAAGCAATTTTCACAAGAAAAGAACAAATCAGATGCTGCTTAGAGGATAAGCATTACAAAGCACAAAAAATGAAAGAAATTCAGATATTTCTTGTGGATTATTTGGCATCAGGATGAAAATTTTGGTATTTGTTTGGAGTGTTTTTTTTATGGTCGAAATATTTAATTGGAAAGTTAAACAACTGAAATTTTTAAAAATAAAATTAGTATTTTGCCTAGTAATACTCTGTTTTTATAAGAATAGGCAAACGTATATTACTAAAACTTTGGATGCGAAGACGATATGTCTTTTAGATTATAAATCTGGTACTTCATGAGAAATTCTCTTAAAGGTAACCTCCGTCTAGCCTTGTTCTAAGTTTTAAATTTTATTAAATATCTTAGTTTTTCAAGATGAAACTGAAAAAAAATGACGAAAATTTGTCATGTAGAACCATTTGCGCTATTATAATATCATGTTCAAGTACTTTACTTTGTTTCCTGGTTTAGTGAATACGAAAGGAATAAGGCAAAGTGGACTCACTTTATTACTGTTCACAAAGCATCATAAAATGCATGAAAATGAAAGCAAACTCCCCAACAGTGTGGCTGTTAAAGTGCTAAGAGGATTAAAGTACCAAGTTATACCATGCCATCTGTTAAAGAAAGAATTTGTACCTTAACAAAAGGAAACCATTCAGCATGCGATCCAGGAATTCACCATGAAACCAAAATAAAAATTAGCGGATTTAAGGTTTAATAGATTCGGTAGTAAACGAATGAACCTGTAAGATTTGTCAAGTAAATGAGTCGAAAAGATTTGCACAGTCTATACATGTGGTATGGTACGGCCCATTGACGGCCCTAGCAATATCAAATCATGGTCTAATACAAATGGATGTGAATTGACAGTGTTATAATTGGATACATGTTCTGTTTAAAGCACAAGTTTCACTCGACTCATGGGTGATTCAAAAAACGATTTGGACGACGTGTCTATGTTACTTGAGCTATCGTTATCAATTTGCTTAGTATCAATCGATACCGTTTTGTAACATTGTTATAACTTAAAGTCCCTTGTGACACTTAGTTTTTTCTTCAATTTTATCTAATTTTTTGTATCTGTTGCTCGATATTATTCTGCCATACTGTGATCAATTCGTATCGGTGCCTTCTGAATCAAAGGCCAACACTGCCTTCCTCAACCAGTTAAGTGTGCCTATATGTACAGTTGTGATAAACTGTTTTTGGTGAAGCCTTCTCACTCTCTCATTGTCTCTCCATCATGGCGCTCACAGCCGATACTATTGCAAAACATAACTTCAATAAGAAGCTATACAATGCTCTGATGAGAGGAGATAGAGACAAGGTGATCCAACTCTGCCGAAAAACTCCTGAGGGTCCATTACACATACTGACCATACACCAAGACACTGTCCTTCATATGGCCACCTACTCCAAACAAAAAGACTTGGTACTCAGTTTACTCCAAGAGTTAACCGAAGGTCAATTTGCCAAACTGATGCATCCTAATGACACTGGAAACACCATACTACACGAGGCGGCAACTTCTGACAGAATAGTACCCGCTGCGAGGGAAATGCTGATCAAAGCACCAAAACTGCTGAGTATGCGCAACCGGCGTGGAGAGACAGCTCTTTTTCGCGCTGCACGTTATGGCAAAACTATGATGTTTGAGTTTCTAGATGATGAAACCAACAAAAGCATTAAAAATGCAGAAGAACTTAAGGCCTTTCATTATAGGAATGACAAAACCACTATACTTCATATGTCCATCCTCACCGAGCACTTTGGTAAGTAGCTTGAGTTGAAAACTGTCTTATGAATTGTTCAGTCATCTATTCATTTTCATTGAAATTCACAAGATATTAATACTAGAAGCCTAGGCCATATGTATAGTCAGATTGATCAGCACACACTGAATGTCAAGTTATGGTGCAATTTGAGAGCTGCTATGGCTGCTCCATTAAATTTTTTTTTTTCTGACATGTGCTATGAAATGTGAGACAGATTTGGCCCTTGTAATTGCAAGCAAGTATGAGTACTTGCTTGATGAAAAAGATGGAGATGGAATGACTGCTCTTCAACTTCTTGCTTGCAATCCATCTGCATTCAAAAAGGGGAGTACCCAAGGATTTTTCAAGCGGTTCATTTACGCTTGTAAGAAATTTACCTCAATTAGCAATTAAGCTTCATTTACTATTTAGTATTTTTTTTCAAGCGGTTCATTTACCCTTTACCTCAATTAGCAATTAAGCTTCTATAAATCAATTCTTTATGTGGCGTTAAAAAATATATTGCCATCCAAAAAAAAATTTGTTCATCCAAAAAAACATGTCCGATTACTATTTAGTATAAACCGATCTACGTGCATCTTACTATATAAAATATCTATTAATAAACATGTGGTCGAGCAACAAAACAAGCAAATACTTAGACACAAAAAGTACTTAATAGCGTTACATATTTCATTGATAGTGTTACACAAAGAGTGCAAATACTTAAACACAATGCAGTTAGGCACTCCTCCTGAAAAATAATAAGAGTAATTGATATTGCATTTTTTTGTTAAAAAACAAGTTACAATCCAAAAAATCTCAAAACTGGTGATGTTTTCAAGTGTCTCAACGGTTGGTACTGCATTGACAGATGAAGGTAAAGGGCTATCTAATAATTCCACACTCTATCATCCAATGTTTGCTTGGTTTTTTTTTTTTTTTTGGACTTTAACCAGAAATGAAATATTATCTCCAAGTACACCAGCATCAGGACAATTTTAGTTTCTTCAGGCCAAATAACGAAGTGCACCACCTCTTGAAAACTTTGCCATTTTTCTATATGAGCTAAGCAATAATACACCAAATAAGAGTCACCCACAGGCTGAACCAATCCTGATGAGACTTGAGGAGGCCACCAATGGATTAGCTAGATGGTGGAATGGCCCACGGGGCAATCCAGCTTTCAAGTTAGTAGAATCACCAACATCCGTGTCATCCTGTTTTCCATCACAAATTATTGTCATCATCATATCATAATAAGTACAGTTGGTAATTTGCTTCCATATAGAAATATGTGGTTTCTCAACTAGCCATAAAATATTTTCCTGCACTTGTACTAGTTACATAACATTCTTTGGAGACTAATAAATCTAATTTTTATTTCTTCAAAAGCTCAAACATGTTGTACAGTGCCCTTATGGGAATCAGTTCGAATGAAGAAACGTAGATACGAGTCAGCTGTGAAACTTGCCAAGTTCTTGATAGAGAGAGATACCTCATGGGAGGCAACTGAATCTGCATTAGACCGGAGTAAACCTAAGACCCATAAATATTCCTCCGTGGCTTCCCAAGGCCAAGGGCCAGTGAAGAAAGCCCCAACTGAAACTGCTGAAACTCCATTGTTTTTGGCTGCTAAGGCAGGCATTACAGAAATTGTTGAAGAAATCCTTACCGTGTATCCTCAGGCCGTAGAGCATGTTGATGATGAAGGGCGCAACATTTTACATGTGGCGATCAAGTACCGCCAAATTGAGATATTTGATTTTGTGGTAAAAATGGAAATCCCAATGATGAGGTTAATAAGAAAGATTGATAACAATGGAAACTCTATACTGCACTACGTTGGCATCACAGGAGGAGATCGTGGGGCGGAAGACTTGCGAAGTCCTGCTCTGATATTGCAAGAAGATCTGCTCTTATTTGAGGTGCGCGTTTAATGTTCAATACCTTTAGCACATGCACAACACACTTTCTTCATTAGGCTTGTCTTCCTAATGAAACTATGTCATTGTTTGAGTGGTTGATTGTTTGTCGACTTCCAGCGGGTGGAGAAAATCTCTACAAGCCATTTCGTCAAGCACTTCAATTCTAAAGGGCAGACTGCTGCAAAGCTTTTTAGGGAAGACAATGCTCAACTTCGCTCAGACGCCAAAGACTGGCTAAAGGGGACTGCTGAAAATTCCACCATTGTTGCTGTGCTCATTGCCACCGTTGCCTTTGCAGCCGCCTACACGGTACCTGGAGGCCCAAATCAAGACACTGGTTATCCACTTCTTCTCAAGCAACCTTTCTTTGTCATGTTCACCCTGACAGATGTACTTTCTCTCACATTTGCTTTGACTTCGGTGATTGTATTTCTCTCAATCCTCACATCATCCTTCCGGCTAAACGATTTCAAGCAGTCACTTCCTCAAAAACTCATGCTAGGATTCACTTTGTTGATATTTTCAGTGTCATTTATGATGCTGGCATTTTCAGCTACAGTTCTCCTAATGATTCGTAACAACCAACATTGGACTAAGATTGCTTTATACGCGGTGGCACTCCTCCCAGTTGGTATTTTTGCACTCTCATACATACCTTTGTACGCATCACTCATGAAAAATTTCAAGTACTCCCTCAAGAAAGTAGGGCACGTTTTTCCTCGATGTAGTAGTGTTTCTGTTCCTTCCAAGTCCTCTATTCCTCAAGGCAGTAATTCCACATGCCACTTCCAGCTTGAGATTGAGTAGAATTTTCAGATACATCATGAATCCTGTATTGTAATTGGTCGGGTTCATGCGAGAAATATGGCATTTTTTTTTATTCTGGATTAGTAACTATTTTCACAAAGTTTGTATGATTGGTTTACAACATTGAGTTTGGTTTTATATGTGTAATGTATGATTGGTAAAGTTTGTTATTTCTTGATCCAAATTCGAACATGTAATCAGGTGTTGATCCTCTTACGGATTTTCTTTAGAAAGGACTATTCATCTGATAAAGGTTATGTTCCACATCAATAGCATTTCCAATATACGAAAAGTAATGCAAACCTCATGGAATACCTCAACTATTATGCACCGATATTTTTTGCACAAATCTGGTTTGCCAATATTATCTCCGCCATTGGAGATGGTACCCACAAATTGGAGGAAACTCTTGAAACTCAGGCACACTGCTAGGCCATTGATTCTTCACATTATTGGAGATGGTAAATCAACACACTTGTGGCATGATAACTGGCGTGGGCCCCTTCTTCCTAAATGGTTAGAGAGAATCATTGAACTGGCAAATCTACTATCTTCCACAAAGGTAGAAATCATTGTTAATGGTACCTGTTGGGCATGGTCTTCTTCAGGTACTCTAGAGCTACTGCAGATTCTCAATTCTATGTCGTCCTATAATTTTGACTCTGCATGCTAATAGAATTAAATGGCTCCTTGATCCTAGCGGTCATTATACAGCTCATTCAACATGGAAATCTTTTTATACCTCTGGTCCTAAGGACCCTTGGCATAGACTTGTATGATATCTTCAGTACATCCCTAGGATGTCTTTTGTTCTTTGGATTATTATTCATGAAAATCTGGGAACGAAGGATCAAATCAAGACTTATATGCAAAACATCAATACGACATGTGTGTTTTGTAGACTTACGGAGGAAAGCATTAACCATTTGTTTTTTGAATGCCTTTTCACAAGTGAAATATTGAACAAGGTGCTTAGTCATTCTATGGCCTCTTGGTTCCACCCATATTGGTTACCAGCTATCCACTTAATCTCCAACCAATGGAAAGGGAAATCCCTCAAATCCATTGTGCTCAAACTTGGCCTTTCCAGTTCTGTCTATACGATTTGGAGAGAAAGAAATGTTAAGAGTCTTCAGGAATGAATTCACTATTTTGAAGTCCATCCTTCATGTCATTAGAAGTAAACTTCTCACTGTCAACTACAAGCAATCCACCCGGAATATTATTTTTCTCCAGCATTGGAACAATTTTGTATCTAATGTTTGGTCCTCAAATGTTCCAACGTGAATGATCTGACATGCCATAAGTTCTATCTCAAGGCTGAACTTATAGCAGTTCAGTTGCTTGATCCCTTTTTTGTTCTTTTAGTCTGTTTCATAAATAGATAGTTTCTCTTATATGTACATGTAATTTTGCAAAGATGAATATATTTTACTTTCCCAAAAAAAAAATTATCTCCTCCATTAACTCTTTGAACCCCTCTCTAGGATTCCTAGGGCTACCATTTCAACCAATTTACCCCTTTCCGTTCGCTTCATGTCTCACCTCCTACCTTTCTCAAATCCTTTGGTCTAACAACTCTTGAAGCATAATGTGTGCTAAGATTGATGTTGTCAGAAACTGATTAGAATTGGTGTCTTCGGGTTCATCTGAGGAAGAGACATTGACAGCCTAAAACTGCAAAACAAGGTTTTGCATCTTTTGAGTTGAAGGGAGCTTTTGTTTCCAATTTCTAAAGCCTTGCATTATTTAGAACATATCAGATAAGTAGATCATCTAACAATTTTACAGACAACACTGGTAAATGAGTCCCTAAAAGAAAACACAATTTATTATTCCAGCTTGTCATGAAATACATTACATACTTCATAAATTTTCATTTCCTAAGGAGTGGGTAATCAAACTAACATGATTTTCCTAGAAATTACACTGAAAATGCTATAACTCTCCAAATAATGATCAGGCACGTCAATAGATTAGATTTCGATACGAATCCAATCCAAATTTGAGTTCTTAGTTGGTTATAAATTGGTATTTTTAATCGAGGAATCTGCATAAACATAACTATGCTAAAGCATGTGGGTGCATGAGATCTTATTGACACTGATATATATGTTACATAATGTTAAGATCACTCTTGTTTTGCTTTCTGTCACTTTGTTAGTAAAAAGTTGATGCAATATTCTCAGTCCTACCTCCATATTGATACGTTTATGTCACCTCTATAGGTTGGTTTCTCCTCTATGTTAAATGGATCAGTTATAGTCCTTACTTTCGTAGGATTATGTTTTAGTTGTTGAGAGTAAAAAATTGTTATTTTTCTCATGTTGAATTAAAAGTAGATGTAGATAGGACAAGAAGCATTAGTCACATTGTGAAACGGTTAAAAAACTTTATAGTGGCATGAATTAGATATGAAAATAAAGATATTGTCATCCAAAAACAAGTCATCTGAAAGAATTTTTTACATCTAGGCTTTGGTTGAGCAAGGGTACCTCACTCCCTTAGGGTGGAATAAAGACAACTAAAGTCTCAACCGGAGTAACAAGGGGTCATGTCATATAGAGGTTACATAGAGATTACAATTTCCTTTCATTCTCCTCCCCCCCCCCCCCCCCCCCCCCCCCCCCCCCCCCCCCCTCC